ATTAAATGCACACCAAGAGGAAAATATATTGAATATTTGACATGTGTCATCTACTTTGTGAGACTTAGTAAACATTAGATATGATTATGTTAGATAACTATTTGAATTGGACAGTTCATGAGACTCTAGGTCTGCAGTTGTCTTCTGAAGAAACTGTCTACAAGGAGTTCTTCCTGTATATGCTACAGTCTGAGTGGCAGATAATGCATGAAACCAACCCTTACTTCTTTGGCCACAAGTAACTGGACAAGGGCTAAGTGCCTTGGCTAAGGACACATACAGGTTGAACTCGAGGAAGATCAATCACCAAAGACATGGCTTGGCTCAAAATTCTGTTGAATAGGGGTCCTCCATTTTAGAAGCTGACAGAACAATTCAATCAGATATTGTCTCTAGGGAAATACAAATGTTGAGTAAACGAAGTTAAATAGGCAGGTTTCCAAGGCTCAAATCCTACCCTAAATACTGCTAAATCACTGTTCTATAAGGTTTTGAAGGCACTAGGGCCAAGAGACAATATGGTTGCTGAGATGGCTTCCATTCCAAGTTTACATTCGACGCTCATAACCAAAGATAACATGTATGCCTCTTTCTTGCAACCCACAAGGGCCCAACACACTATATCACCACTTTTGAAATTAGAAAACAGGCTCTAAAGTCCAAGAGCTTGACCAAAGTTACTTGGTAGGTGGCAGAACCAGAAATCAAAGACCAGGTCAGCATGATTCTTCTATAATATCCTGCCAGATACATGGGTTAAGTGGCCTCAAAATCAACAGACGACAGGCAGAGGTTAACATAGGTTAATGGAGAGAGGCTCAAAAAGAAGGTTTACACATAAGAGTAGAACAGAAACATCAAGTTAATCTATAATTCCAATCTGAACCTCTCCCCTGTGCTCCAGACTCAACTGTTTATCTTTCTTATTCTAATATAAGATCCACAGGACACGACTTTAATCTCTAGATTGTTCACCACAGTCTAAAGCAGAGTCTGGTTTATAGTAAGTGCTTAAAAGATATTTGTTGAATGAACACATAAGTGAACAAACTATCAAAGAAGCTAAGGAACATTCTACAGAAGTGTGAGGGTTGGGTTACGATGAAATAGATTTAAGGAGTCACTTACAAGTACAACTGATCTTCATTATTTATGGATCCCATATCTGCAAATTTGCCTACTTGCAGGCCGACCCGTGGCTCACTCAGTAGAGTGCAGTGCTGATAACACCAAGGCCATGGGTTCGGATCCTA